AACATTGTTTTTTTTTTTGACCTTAGAAGAAAAAAAAAACATTGAAGAAAAAAAAGAAAAACAAAATAGAAAAAAAAAAACGTGAAAAAATTGGGAAGAAAAAGAAAATTTGATTTTCAAAAAAGTATAATTTTACGGTGCACGAAATCAGCAAAAAAAAAAAAAGACACTGAAACACTGAAATCTATCCAAAATTTGTTTATTTGTAAAAATTTTTGTCTTTTTTTTTCACACTACTTTTTTCTTAACTTTATTATTATTATTATTATTATTATTATTATTAATATTGGTATTATTATTATTATTGTTATTATTATTATTTCGTTTTTATTTTTTTTGCTTTTTATTTTTTTTGTCCGCTTAAAACGGCAGCACAGAATAACAGTAGCAAAAAAAAAAAAAAAAAAAAACTTTTCATTTTTTAAAGTGGAGTCGTTTTTGTTTTAATAATTACGGTATTAAAATAAACAATTAAAAAAAAAAAAAAGAGGAGTTTTGCGTTAATGGATTCTTCAGATTTGTTTGAGTTTGCGATCACAAAAAAATGAATGAATTTTACTGCTGCTATTTGATTAGACTTTCAGAAGAAAAAAAAAAAAGATTTTTTTTTTATTATTTGTCAAAAAAAGAGGGGAATTTTTTTTTTTTTTTTAACATTAGTGTGACAAATAATTTTATTTTTTGTACTGTAACTGGTGGAATAAATATTGGTTTCTTCTTAATATGATCATCGTTCATCATTACACCACAATGTATTTCATCGATTCTAACAGTGTGCAATTCTTAGTTTAGTTTACTTGCTTCTTTTTTTTGTTTTCTTTTGTTTTGTTTTGTTATCGTTTCATTTCTTCTCAATTTTTGGTAGTTTCGATTACTGTATCGATGATTTGTTCAGTTTGACAAAGAGACAAAAAAAAAAAGTGAAGAAGAAGAAGAAGAAAAGAATAGAACAAAAAAAAAAATCAACAATATATATATATATTTTTTTTTTTTTTGCTCTTAAACATCTTCTTAATGTATTCACCAAATGATGACAATGAAAAGAATAGAGTAGAGTTGAACGAAAAAAAACACTAAAATTATAGGAGCTGCGATAAAATGTCTTTGACTATGGAATCCTCTCATGTTGGTCTTCTTCAACAGAATATCAATCAAGAAGCCTCAAAATCACCGTCACCTCAACCAAATTCCGACTCAACACCCGAGCAGTCAAGTATTGATGCTAATCTAACAGCAATTCTGAATGCTGCAGCAAAAAATACTGCTGTTTCAGCGGTAAAAAAAAAAAATCTTATTATATCTTTAACTTTCTTTTTTTTTTTCCTTCTTTAATTATTTTTTTACTATTAGCAGTCAGTGTTGTGGTTCGGTTATAACAGTGACAAAAAAGAAAGAAATAGAAGAAAAAGCTTCTTCTTTTTTTTCATTTACATATTACTTATATATTCGAAAGATTTTTCTTCTTTTTCTTACTTTTTATTTTGTAGTATCACATTATTCAGATTTTGTTTTAATCTGTTCTCAAAGATTAACAACTTTTTTTTCTCTTTTTCAGCATTTTTTTCTTGAAATTTCTTTTGATTTGGGCTAATTTAAATACCAATCTATCTTTTCACTTCTAAGCAATTGTAGAGAAACAGTTTTTTTTTTTAAAGCAAATTATTTTTGTTTGGTTAATGATAGTTTTTTTTTTTCAAGAAGTCAATGATCTGATCACAGTAATTGGTAAAATATATTGTAGGTGAAGTCTGAACGAACACCATCGCCAGAACAAGAAAATAAGGGATTCGAAAAGGAACTTGAGGCTCAACAGAAAGCTTTTCAACGCTTTACAACATCGTTAAATGGTAACACACAATAAACTGTGTGTGTGTGTGCAAAATAAAGCAAAGGAAGAAAAAAAAAAAAGTTGAAAATTTGAAAAAAAAAAAAAGATTTTAACTGGAAGAAAAAAAAGTGAAGCAAAAAAAAATTAGACAATTAAGCTGAAAAAAAGTATAGTATAAGTGTTTTTTTTT